GAGCCCTGAGGAACCCCATGACATAAATGCCATGGGGCAGAGCAGCTGTCCCCCAGCACCACCCTCTGGACATGGTCAGCTAGGAAGGAGCGGAACCACTGTAAAACAGTGCCCCCAACTCCCAACCCAGCCAGCCTAACCAGAAGGACACCATGGTCGATGGTGTCGAAAGCCACTGAGAGGTCCAGGAGTATCAACAGGGTCACGCTCCCCCTGTCTCTCTCCCGGCAAAGGTCATCGTACAGGGCGACCAAGGCAGTCTCTGTACCAAAACCCGGCCTGAAACCTGATTGAAATGGATCCAGAAAAGGTTGTAAGGTTATATGGCAGGAATTAGCAGCATATCATAAGCCGTATGTGGTTCTCAAGGTGTATTTGATCAGCCTGGGTCTTATTAGAATCATAGAAATCCCCTGACTTGCATAATAAAATCAGGCTTCTAATTGCTGTGAATAGTTATTAGGCGTAAAAACATAATTGCAAATATTGCTGAAAATTGTAAACAAGGAGGCAGCATAGGAATAGACTTCTATTTATTAGCGATGACAAGGTCTTATCCACTGAAAGTAGCAGTATTAAAATGAAATTTATGTAAGGAATTGGTATTTTGTGACTTTAGCTATTAACTATACTGTACAGTACTCAGATTGGTTAAAAATCAACCATGGCAATTATTTGCAGCTATTATATGAAGATGAGCTAGGATGTGTTCTAATTGCTTTGGAGCCTGAAGATTTGCATCCTGTACTTGAAAGATGCCTTTAGTTTCAAACCTGGAAATGGATGCTTCGGTTCCTGGGTTGGGCTTATTACATGAGCTGGTTCTCATAAATTGTTGTGAATACTTATGTGTTTTTCTCTGCTGCAGTGACTGTAATGGAGAGACAAAAAAGAAAAGAAGAAATAGAGAAGGGGCTTCAGTTCATCCAGTAAGTGAATTTATTTAGAGACGTCGATGTTTCTGTTTTGGTTAATCTGTGAAACAATAATTGTTTGAGGTATTCTGTAAAATGTAATTTGTAATCCCTTCCAAAGGAGCAGCTCACAGATTAAGCATAAATTTCATAGGTAAGAGTATAAAAACATTGCCGTCAAAATGCTGAATAAAATGAAGGGCCTATAAAACCCATGGACTCAAACTGCAGATCAGGTAATCAGGATGCATGAGATCAAGAATCAAATTGCGGTTCCAGTGCAGAGCCATAATATGGTGCCACCTTGACCTCATGAATGGACTGTTCCTTGCATTTGTAGTAGAGAACAGTTACACATTGAATGTTCGTGATCTTAACTTTTAGTTTCTGTTTATCTTTGGTGAAAGAGATTGCAGATTAGATCCTGCCCAGCTGTTCCATTGATTTTTAATATGACTGCCAGAAGATAAATGTATTATCATGGCATTTGACTATAACTGTTTATAATTTGACTATAATTGCTTGGGATTGCGTCTTGCACTTGGAAGAGTGCTTCTAATTTACTTAGCTGTGCATGAGTACAACTTCAGATCATAAGAGAGTTGAATTTAGTTGGAGTTATTGCTTCCTCTACAACTAACATATGTAGGCAATAGAAATCATCACATTGGGTGCATTTTTGCAGAAATTTGGGAGTTTAGAAGAATGCATTGACTTTCCTTCTTTCACTAGTGGAGAATGTGGATTAATTCTATTGAAGCAGGTCTGGGTGCCTGACAAACTATAGTTGCATAATAGCTTTAAGGTATAGATAAAAAGTAGTCTTATTTTGTACACAAATCCCCTAGATGTTTGTTTTAATTTTCGCCCATAGCTGCCCATTCTTTGGTAGAGCCTGTTAACCAGCTACAGACTAACAGCAGCATAATTTAACTCACATTTTACCAGCTTGGTCACAAGAATATAATGGAGGAAGCATGGTAGAAGCTCTACTGAAGGTAAGATACACTACATCCAAGACATCCCCCTGATCTACCAAGCTTTTCTGTAAGAAAAAGAGATAAGATTAAGTATTGCTTCACAGTGGAAGTGAAGAACACATTTAAGGAACTAGATTTGGTGGACAGAGTGCCTGAAGAACTATGGATGGAGGCTCATAACATTGTACAGGAGGCAGCAACAAAAAACATCCCAAAGAAAAGGAAATGCAAGAAAGCAAAGTGGCTGTCTAACGAGGCCTTACAAATAGCAGAGAAGAGAAATAAAATGCAAGGGATAGGGAAAGTTACATAAAATTGAATGCAGACTTTCTCCTTAGCAAGGAGAAACAAGAGGGCCTTCTTAAATGAACAGTGCAAAGAAATAGAGGAAAAGAATAGAAAGGGGAAAACTAGAGATCTTTTCAAGAAAATTTGAGATATTAAAGGAACATTTTGTGCAAAGATGGACATGATAAAGGACAAAAATGTTAAGGATCTTACAGAAGCACAAAACATCAAGAAGAGGTGACAAGAATACCCAGAAGAATTATACCAGAAAGATCTGGATGTCCTGGACAACCCAGATAGTGTGGTTGCTGACCTTAAGCCAGACATCCTGGAGAGTGAAGTTAAGTGGGCCTTAGAAAGCATGGCTAACAGCAAGGCCAGTGGAGGTGATGGTATTCTAGTTGAACTATTTAAAATCTTAAAAGATGATGCTGTTAAGGTGCTACACTCAATATGCCAGGAAGTTTGGAAAACTCAGCAATGGCCAGAAGATTGGAAAAGATCAGTCTGCATCCTAATCCCAAAGAAGGGCAGTGCCAAACAATGCTCTAACTACCATACAATTGCACTCATTTCACATACTAGCAAGGTTATGCTCAAAATCCTACAAGGTAGGCTTCAGCAGTATGTGGACCGAGAACTTCCAGAAGTACAAGCTGGATTCTGAAGGGGCAGAGGAACTAGAGACCAAATTGCTAACATGCGCTGGATTATGGAGAAAGCCAGAGAGTTCCAGAAAGATACAGTGGGGTCTTGACTTGCGAACTTAATCCGTATTGGAAGGCAGTTCGCAAGTCAAAAAGTTCGCAGGTCAAAATCTGCATTCCCATAGGAATGCATTGAAAACCATTTGATACATATCTGCTCTCCATAGGGCGGCGCGGGACCCTGAGGAAGGTAAGGGAAGGGGTGCCGTCAGTCAGGGCATTGATTACCTCAGGTCCCGGCGGCGGCCCACAGGTCCCGGCGGTGGCGGCGGCCTTGGCGGGAGGAGAAGGGGAGGCACCGGAGCTGGAGGAGACTCTTGAGAGTCCCCTGGATTGCAAGGAGAACAAACCTATCAATTCTGAAGGAAATCAACCCAGAGTGCCCATTGGAAGGACAGATCCTGAAGCCGAGGCTCCAATACTTTGGCCATCTCATGAGAAGAGAAGATTCCTTGGAAAAGCCCCTGATTTGGGAAGGTGTGAAGGCAAGAGGAGAAGGGGACAACAGAGGATGAAATGGTTGGACAGTTTCATCGAAGCTACCAACATGAACTTGACCCAACTCTGGGAGGCAGTGGAAGACAGGAGGTCCTGGCGTGCTCTGGTCCATGGGGTTACGAAGAGTCAGAAACGACTTAACGACTAAACAACAACAAATTGCTTTACTTGTTTTTGAGAAACTTGCACTGTCTCTGCATAAGTATCTTACTATTTTCTAACAGCTCACAGACTGACTGTTTAATGATTTGTTCTAGAACTTTTCCTGGTTTGATATTAAACTGACCAATTGGCCATTTGTCTTCCTTTTGAAGGGGTGACAGTTCCCTTTCTTCAAGGACCTAGTTGTTCTCCATGAATTCTAAAAGAAGATAGGCAGAAGCTTTGACCTTGCATTTACATGATTCAACCCTTTAATAAAAGCTCCTTTTTTCATTCAAAATAGATAGATGCTTCTTCTAACCCCTTACCAAACTTGGGCAGCAGTCCTTCATTGCCTTTTTACTTGTGCTAGGTTGAACACTGTTTTCCTTCTGGGAAAATATGGAAACAAAATAGGTGTTGATTTCCACATCCTTTTTTGTCACAATTAGCATTTCACTACCTTATCTATATAACCGACATACTAGTTTCTTGTTCATTCTCTTTCTTCAGGCATAGTTGAAACCTGCTTTTTGTTACTGTACAATATTTGTAAGTTTGAGCTTATTCTACACATTAGCACTCCTCACTTTCTGCCTACTAATAATGGCTACTTGTTTGCACTCTTGCATAGCAATTTACTTTTCTTTCCATTTCCTATACATGTTTCTTTTAAATTTTAAATTGTGCGATAGTTCGTTATGTAGCCCCTCTGCTTTGTTTAGATCCCTCCCACTTTCTTATAGGAGATGTTTGCAGTTGTGTCCTTAGTGTCTCACCTTTTATAAACTTGCATCCATTGTGAACTCCATTCTCTGAGTATTTCTGACCATGAGATCTTAGTATTTTGTTATGTGTTGGATTACAACTCCAGTCATCCCAGTCATTAGCCATACTAGCCAAGGTGTATGTCCAGAACATCTGATGGACAGCAGGACACCTACCTCTGCTGTATATTTGGTTGGATCAAAGCTCACTCATTAAGCTCTGGAAGTTATTCCTGACTCTAGTTAAAACATTAACGTCCCCCACTTTGAAAAGATATTTTAAACACAGAAACATGCCTAGTCATTTTTTTCTTTTGGTCTTAAAATGCTAGCTTTCTCAATATTGTGACTTTATTCCTGCTGTTTTATAAACAGTAGCCATCAGAAGAGTGCATGAGAGACATCTTTTAATTAAATAATAGGGATTTTTATGGGCAGGTAATGGGCTTGTTTTGCATGTGTAAGTATTGTCCAAGCACATGTCAGCTTGCAAAAGCTATAGTGGTACAGTACCCTGTTTCCCCGAAAATAAGACCTAACCTGAAAATAAGCCCTAATGCGCTTTTTTGGAGCAAAAGTTAATATACGACCCTGTCTTATCAGGGAAACATGGTAGGTAATCAGAGGCATAGTGCAGCATTCGGTACCAAATTATATTGTAAGTAAAGACTGTGGGAAATTGATTCTGCAGACTCATTCCATAGTTTGAAGGCAGCAGTCAGAAGAAGCAAACATGTGAAAGAGAATGTGTTTCATTGTGTCTCCATATTATGGATTTAGAACTGAGTCCTTAACGTATATTACACAGGCTACTGTATTATTTACACACTTCCATATGTGATCAATTCTTTGTCTTTGTCTAGGTCCACATTACCTCTAATCCAAGAAGATTATGAGGTAATTTTAAGATTCTGTTTTTATTTTAGTCTTGTGGCATCATGCATGTTTGTTTATATGCCTTGTCATGTCAAAAATTCCATATTCAGGTGAAGGACAGGGAAATAATTTTCTGTTGTGGCTGGATGAGCAATTTTATGTAGAAAGAGTCTCACAACTAACTTCATCTGAAGCAGAGTTAAACAGATTATGGTTTTGTCGTTTATTTGCATGTTTATTCCTGTTTTAGTTCTTTTGATGACCCAGGTTCCAACAGAGAGTAGGACCTTCTCAATGATAGTTCTAGTTTTCTGGTAGTCATTGCTTAAAAAGGGATAAAGTGCTGTACAATCTTCTCCATGCTTTCTTTCCAAAGGGGTGTGCAGGCAAGAAAATGAAATCCAAAACAAGGAAATACCACACATAGAATTAGCAAAGCATATTCCTAAAGGTTCTCTGTTTTGTTTTTTAAAAAAGGGCACTGCTTTGGAAAGAAAACATGGAGAAGATTGTGTAGATCTGTATAAAATTATCCTCCTCAGATCACTGGAGCTACAATTCATAAGGTCCTGCTCTCCGTTGAAGTTATTCAGGTTGGATTCCAGCTTGTCAAAAGATATCAGGTGTTAAGAATGGGGAACCATATGAGAAGACATATTTTCAGACATAGAATAAAAAAAGTTAAGGATTTGATGCGTAAGAATCAATGCTTTGAACTGCTTCAGAATCAAATGAATTGGCAGCCAATGCAGATGGCTAAAAATAAGTGATACTGTATGTGAAAAATATTGGTCTGATTTATAAAAAAAAGTATAGGTTCTGGTTTATCTATGTTATTCCTCTGGACAAAAGTGAAGATGATCACAGAAACAGTTCAACTCAAAGTAAAATAAATTTCAAATATTTATTTAAAAATCATCAAGGATAGGCTGAGGATGTACGTATCCTTATAAAAATATGATAAAATCAAACATAAATTAAGTAATATGACCTTGGGAATGGAGAGAGGCAGATGTAAAACACTGTACCTTATATCAGTTTATGTTCAGTTATTAGACTAGAGAATGATACAAGGTGAAAAATCAAATATCTGTATATTGTATATCATGGGCAGGGCTATAACAACGGTAACATTGCTGCACAAGAGGAGAGATGAAGGAACAGCAGACCTCATACAGCAGCAAAGGAATACATTTCACTTAACTGAAGAGTTATTGCTCACAAATTGGCAAATAGGAAATTCAAGGATTGCCCAGGTTATGTGCCATTATGTTAGGTTTACGAGGAAGCATGTTTGGTGGTTTAGATGCTGCAAGGATATTGTGGCAAGGACAAAATGGAATGATGACATGCTTTGCGGGAGAATGACAAAGGACTCGAGCTTTCTGTAATTTTGTTTCACATTCTCTTTCTGTAGGCCTTTTTGCAAAAGCTAGTGCAAAACTTATTTGCAGAGGGCAACGATTTGTTCAGAGAGAAGGATTTCAAACTGGCGCTAGTGCAGTATGTAGAAGGGCTGAATGTGGCTGAATATGCAGCTTCTGACGAAGTGACCATTCCAGTGGATCTCTTATGTAAGCTGCATGTGAATCGGGCTGCCTGTTACTTTGCTATGGTGAGTATATGCTTCATAGATGTATACAGTATACTTTTTAAAAATCTCTTGTCTCAAGTCAAGACCCCACTGTATACTTTTTAAAAATCTCTTGTGACTTGATGGCTTGCAGATGAATCTACAAGTAGAGTCCCTTTTGAAATGAAGAACTGCACTGAAGTGACTTTGAAAGAAATCAACATTTTTATATCTGTCATAGCTTATTTACACATAGAGATAATTGGTGGTGCCTCGCAAGATGAAAGTAATTTGTTCTGTGAGTAGCGCCGTCTTGCGAAATTTTCGTCTTACAAATAGCGGCTTCCCATAGGAATGCATTGCAATGCATTCCTATGGGAAACCTCGCAAGATGAATGAATTATTTTCATCTTGCAAGGCATCAGTCTTGCGAAAAAATATCTTCTTGTGAAGCACAGCCATAGAAGAAGTTACCTTGCGAGTAACCAACATGATTGCAAAAACCATTTGTCTTGCGGGTTTTTCGTCTGGCGAGGCGTTCGTCTGGCGAGGCACCACTGTACATAATGTTGTATTCATCAGGTAGTGACCATGCATGTGAGATTCACACATTAGTCATTTCTGTTAAGAGCAGACTAAAGTAATGGTAGTCTTCAAAAAGATGAGTGGGAAACGTGGATTGTGCTAACCTGATCCATTTTTTTTTCTGCACAACTTTATCCCAACAGGATTTTGCCAGTTGGGAGAGATCCTCCATGGAAAGTGACATGGAGGGTTTGTTTGTACTAGATTTCTCATATTATATTGGTCTCTTTTCCAAAAGGGCCTGTATGAGAAGGCTTTGGAAGACAGTGAAAAGGCTCTGGGGTTCAATAAAGAGAATATCCGTGCACTCTTCAGGAAAGCTCGTTGCTTGAATGAGCTGGGGAGGCACAAGGAAGCATATGAATGTAACAGTCGCTGTTTGCTCTCCCTTCCACATGTAAGTATAGCTTTCACACGTACAGATGTACACACGTAACCCATATTTATAATAATGAAGGAATGTAAATGTTTTGAGATAAAGGTACTTTAATTACAGAGGTTTTGTTCCTTTTCCTGTTATTACCTTCATCTTTTTAATCATGATGGAAAGGTTATTCTCAAAGATTTATATACCTTCTATATTTTGCTCACAGTGAAAAAGCTGGGATAGGGAACATATAATCCTCCAGATGTTGTTGAAATTCAGCTCTCATCAGCCATCACCACTGATTCTGCTGGCTAGAGCTGACGGGAATTACACTTGAACAACATTTTGGTATTTTCCCACTTCTGAAATATGAGAATTCAGTTTTTATTACTAATATAGCAACTAGCTGTCATAGTCTTTAACACTTACTGTAAATAAAATGTAGTTATTAATTTTATATTCTATGCTTTGCCCCACACTAGGACACAAAGCAGCTCATAACAAGATTAACGAAAAGAGGTACAGGTTACAATGTACAAAGTCATATTGTCAAAGCATAAATAAATGAATTAGGAAATAAAATGCAAACAATTTAACTAAAAGCAGTTGAAAACAGAGCAATAAAGAAAGTGCAGTAGCTCCCGAGAAAAGCTCCTCCTTTCAGTCAGTCATGACGTTGCCAATAGCCTCCCAGCCTCTCCTGGATGGAGGTTACACAGCCTGGGAGTACCCACAGGGAATACATGACAGGGCCCTCAATGATCACCCCAAGTTGACAGCTGCAACAAAAAGCATGGCCATGAGATTGGCTGTGGTGGCACCTGACAAAATAGCCAACAACAGGCACTGAGCTGAAAGCCAGTTGTCTGGTCATGGAAACACTGCACTTGTGGCTGTTGCATGAACAGAGGTTTTTTTATTTATTTATAAAACTAAGATGCAAAAAAGAAGGATGAAAAAAAGAAAACAGAACTAAAGAAAACCTTAATAACATAAAACAAAATAAACAATACAGGTGTGGTATAAAGACTGAGTACTTCAGATTACCTGATGGGGAAAACATCAGGGTCATCCCAATAGAGTGGAAGAGCAGTGATCGTCCCAGCATGCCGCCTGTTGTACAGGAAAGTGAGATCAATTCCAGGACCCAAGGAAAGAGAGCATTGGGAGGTAGGAAACAAGGGTGGTCCCCAACCCTTTGGGAAGGCAGTAGGGGCCAGCCAACTTAAGGGTGAGCCAAGACTCTATAGGTGAAGACAAGAAAAGGGGAAGCAGGTGCTCTAGTGGATGAACCAGCTGAGGAGAGAACCCAGCCCGGATAGGGCAGAACCTTCAGTCACTAAGGAACCGGTTAGACAGGAGTGAGCCTCCTTAAACCACAGGCCACTCACACTTCCTGGCTACAGTTGACCCCAAGACACATGGTTATCTAGGTCCCCCATCCACCATGGCCAGCACCTCCTTATCTGTGTCTAGTATAACAGCTGCTTAATATTGAGAGTGTCTGCTCCTGCAGTGATCCCGAACCTTGGGTAATCCAGGTGTTCTTGGACTGCAATTCCCAGAAGCCTTCACCACCAGCTGTGCTGGACAGGGTTTCTGGGAGCTGCAGTCCAAGAACTCTTGCGTTACCCAAGGTTGGGGACCACTGTACTACTGTACCAACTTCCTCCTTAGCGAAGCCCAGGTCCTGTCATGGCCTATGCCTTGCAAACGGCTAGATCTATTTCTGCTTTCTAGCTGTAGAGTCTGGACTCTAAAAAAACCCTGAGGCCCACTCCCTGAGTGGAAGGACCTAGAGGCAAGTACCTTTTGGACAATGCTCTATCGTGAGCAGAGGGAAGCAAGCAGGACTAGCTATTTCTCAGAGTCAGCTGCCTTATAGAGCCTCGTGGCGCAGTGGTTAAAACGCTGTACTGCAGCTAAAACTGTGCTCACGACCTGGGGTTCAAATCCCAGGTAGCCAGCTCAAGGTTGACTCAGCCTTCCATCCTTCCGAGGTCGGTAAAATGAGTACCCAGCTTGCTGGGGAGGGAATGTGTAGCCTGTATAATTAAAAATTGTAAACCGCCCGGAGAGTGCTTGTAGCGCTATGGGGCGGTATATAAGTCCAATAAATAAATAAGTAAAAATAAATTATATTTAGAGGTTTGCTGTGATTCAATGACCTGACCAGACCTAGAGGCAAGTACCTTTTGGACAATGCTGTATCGCGAGCAGAGGGAAGCAAACAGGACTAGCTATTTCTCAGAGTCCGCTGCCTTATATTTAGAGGTTTGCTGTGATTCAGTGACCTGACCAGGGAAGCCATGTTGCAGTTTGGGTCCAGGTATACTACTGTGTTTGACTGCCAGTAAATCCTGTATTAGCTCAACTGTATTCTTAACCTGCCTAATGTATAATTAATTAATTATATTTATAGCCCATTTTGCTCCCAGCACAGAGATCTAAAGCAACTGTTTTTAAAAAAGGTAGAGATAGAGATTAATTAATTAATTAATTTTAAATTAACTTGTAGTTAACTTGTTTGTTTTTATATCACCTTTCCCCCAGAATTGGTACTCAAGGTGGCTTAAGGTGGTACTCCAAAACAATTAAAAACAATATAAAACTAAAATATAATAGAATTACAAATGATAAAACTGAATAAAATTCATTATGGTATTAAAATTAAAGCACTTAAAAATATTTGGTAAGACATCCAGTGCAGTTGTATACTGTAAAAACAATGAATTACAATACTGAAAGTCAGTTAAACATCATTATATTAAAACAACCAATTTAGACTGGTTTAAAAGTATAGCAAGAAAAAATAACAAGTACAAATAGTACAGAAAGGACTTGCTTCCCTATGAAAGGGCGAAAAAGGAGAGAAGCCACTTGTTGGCAGTGCTGCTAAAAGTAATGGATTTCTAGTGATAGTTCTCCACCCTTTTCTGTTGCCTGGAGGATTAAGTATTCAGGATTTTAGCCAGGATCTGGTAGAGATAATGAGGACAGGAGGCACCAAGACTGAAAAGAACAGTTGGTACATTTTTTGTGTATATGTGTGAGCTGATCCTGAACTGTTCAACAAGCCATGCATAACTCAAGCAGTGGCTTTATGTAGTATGAATGTGACTAGTGTTTTGCTTCCCTGGAAGGTGAAGATATTTGAGCCTTTTGCATGTGTTCATGTACTTGAGTGAAGAGGATGGGGGTGCAAATGTAAGCCCTGTTCCTGAACATCATGGGAGGTTTCTAACTGCGTTTGGCTGAGTGCACTTGGAGTGCTTTTCAGATCTTTGCACTAAGTGCATGGAAGTCTAAACAATTTCTGGCTGGTGGGAATGTTCAAGGTATGAGGATGACATAAATACTGCCCTCCATATATTTGGGCAAAAGCCTTTTTTGTTCTTGTTTTTTGTTTTCACTGCCAAAAAAAGAGAGAGAGAGAGAGAAACATACTGCTTTTCATCTAACTAAAACTACTGTTATATGTGAGGAATGTAATTCAATTTTACACATACAAAATATATGTTGTTGTTTTTCTGCTGAAGGATGAAAGTGTGGCACAACTTGGCCAGGAGCTTGCACAGAAGCTGGGCTTAAGGGTTCGGAAAGCATATAAGAGGCCTCAGGTATGATATTTATGTCCTGTTCTTCTTCCGGTTAACATATATAGGATTATATTACGTTTGTCTCCTAGTATGATGTGGGACGTGGTGGCGCTGCGGGTTAAGCCGCAGAAGCCTCTGTGCTGCAGGGTCAGAAGACCAGCAGTTGTAAGATCGAATCCATCTGACAGAGTGAGCTCCCATCGCTTTGTCCCAGCTCCTGCCAACCTAGCAGTTTGAAAGCATGTAAAATAGCTACCACCATGGTGGGAAGGTAACAGCATTCTGTGTTTAGTCGCGCTGGCCATGTGACCATGGAAACTGTCTACGGACAAACGCTGATTCTATGGCTTGGCAGCGGGGATGAACACTGCGCCCTAGAGTCGGACACGACTGGACTAAATGTCAAGGGGAACCTTTACCTCTCAGTATAAACTGAGATTGAGACTAAATGACGTGCCTAGGACCACAAGAGTGTCATGGCAGAACAGGGATTTGAGCTTGTGGGTTGCAACATCCAAACCGGTGTTGTACTTCAGACCTACACAATGTTCGATCCAACAAATTGGAGGCAGCTCACCTGTACTATGCAGTGATTTTTGAAGTGTTTAATATACAGCCCAGTTAATGCGGTGCTAGATAAGGGGCAAAAATGGAAAATGTTTGAATTCCTAGTGGACTGTTTTGAGATGGCTCATGGTCTGTGTTGGCCATGGTGAAGTTGAGCAGATACCTAGGCATTGTATCACACTGACTCTCAGTGAAGTGGCAATTAGTATTTCAGGTTAGTCACATTGTATTGTCATCAGAAGAAAGATGAGGTATAAATGAAGTGGCAATTAGTATTTCAGGTTAGTCGCATTGTATTGTCTTCAGAAGAAAGATGAGGTATAAATCTCTGTGTGTGTGTGTGTAAATAAAAGATCACCTTTTCTTTTACACTCCTTCCCATTATCTTTGAATCATTTGGAATGGCTCTTGATAATTATGGGGGCTTTTGATAATCAGGGGAGGTTCTCCTCTCATCAGTATGATGGCCCCTCAAATGAGGGCATTTGATTGAGTTGCCCTGCCAAATAGGTCTCCTGACTGAGCCATTCACTGGCAGTTTTGAGGTTTGGGTGCATGCTGGAAATACTTAGCTTAGGCTTGTCTAGAGTAGTTTTGTAACTCATGTAAACAGCTGCTCAGTCTTACAGATTTATAGTAGTAATTAGACATGAGATATTCATATTTGCATCAACTGGGAGTGCATTTGATTGAGTTGCCCTGCCAAATAGGTCTCCTGACTGAGCCATTCACTGGCAGTTTTGAGGTTTGGGTGCATGCTGGAAATACTTAGCTTAGGCTTGTCTAGAGTAGTTTTGTAACTCATGTAAACAGCTGCTCAGTCTTACAGATTTATAGTAGTAATTAGACATGAGATATTCATATTTGTATCCACTGGGAGTCAAATATGAATATCAGCACCACAGATGCCTGGGAAAACTGGACCCCGCCTCCAGAATGGCAGGTCCATGTACCACGTGTCACGTGGTGAGCATGGCCAGCGTTGTTCTTGTTGCGCCAATCCAGGAAGCATCCCAGCCAGCACTTCCCCACCTCCCCGTGTAGCTGACCATTCAACAACTGAGCAAGGAGACTCATTGTCCCACCTCCTCATCAGAGTGGTTGGCTATGTGGGCAGGCGGGGAAGTGATGGCTGGATTGACACGATGAGAATGATGCCAGCTATGAGTGCCATGTGGTGAGCGGACCTGTTGGTTCAGGAAAGGAGGCACTGGTTTTCCCAGGCATCTGTGGTGCCAGTATTTGTATTTGTGTCCCCAGAAATACAAATATCCCATGTCTAGTATTCATATACACACATCACCCTTGTAAATACCATCAATATGTACACTACTTCGGTAAATCTTTTGTTAATTTGTACATATATTTTCTTAAATAAATTAAAATATGTAATTATAGAGTGTTTATAAAAACATTTCAAGCTGGCTGGATATCTCAGTGGGTTGAAGTACCTGTCTATGAAACCAGAGGTTGGGATTTTGATTCCCCAGTATACCTCTCAGAAGAAGAGGTGGTCTTCATGACCATGGGCAAGCTGTGCAGTCTGGGAACACCACTGGAAGAACAGATTGATAAGCCACTTCTGAACGGTTTATAGCTTCAGAACTCTGGGAAGGGTAACCATACATTGAAATTGATTTCATAGAACATTGTTGTTGTTACAAAAGGCAATTGCCAGAAAGTTGGACTTGTGAATATAAAATTATCTGCCATTTGTAAACCGCCCGGAGAGTGCTTGTAGCGCTATGGGGCGGTATATAAATAAAAAATAAAAAATAAAAAAAATATTTGAGGACACTTGTCATCATTTCTAAATAGTCTTTAAGATTTGAGAGGTACACTAGGCTTCTTAGAAAGAAAGAGAAGGAGGGGTGAAGGGTGTGGGTGCATAGCATGGCCTTGGATTCCAAGAAAGATTGGAAAAAAGAGAATTTACAGTAGCTGCTAAGAAGGCAGGATTTAAAGAAGAAGAGAGGACGTTATAAGCCCTTGTTCTCCTGCTTTGAATTCTGGAGTTGTGGGAGAGGATTTCAGGGGTGTAACAATTAACATTTAGCACGGGAAATTTGAAGGAGGATGAGAAAGAACTTGGATGGATGAGGGCTCATTGTACAAAAGGGTAGCTTTAGGAAGACTCTAATTGTGTCCTCAAAGGAGAATACAGTTTAGCAAAAGTGGACTACAGGTGTACCTCCGTTCACGAAATTAACGTGTCCTCTGAGACGTTATGTAATGCTGAAATTTTGCAAACCAATACATGGATTACATTAGGAATGGGGGCAGCGCTAGAAACCTTCAGGTGCAATGCGTCCTGGGGAAACCCTTTCGTACCGCCGGGGGGGGGGAAGTAAACCGGCACATTATTTTCTAAGGATTTAGGTTCGTAAACTGAAAGGTCCTGGGGAAACCCTTTCATACAGCGGGGGGAGGGGGGGAAGTAAACCGGCGCATCATTTTCTAAGGATTTAGGTTCGTAAACCGAAAATTATGTAAATTGAGGCTTTCGTAAAGCGACGTACTGCTGTGTGTGCTTCTTGAAGTGGGATTTACCATCCTCTTTTCATTTGCTTTTCAGAACTTTCAGTGGTCAATTCAGTAGTTAGTACAGTGAGAACTAATTATGTTACAAGTGAAGGAAGGTGAAATGTCCCAGGAGATTCCGTAGTAGCTGAATGGTAGGCAGATGAGGGCCATTTCCTTGTCTATTTCAAAAGAGATTTCACATGAGAAATACATAATGTGTTTTACCCTGTGCTGCTACAGCCATACTAGTTTATGTTCCCAAGTAAATTGGACCATTTAGAGCTCAGTGGTTTATGTATCTGGTTGGGAGTTCAGTTCACTCCTCTGACCTACTTGACAGGGGCTGGAATGATGATCCATTGGGTACCTTCCAGCTCTATAGTTTTAAGATGATGCTGATGAATCAAGACATAAGAGCAAGTACACAGTGGTAGTGCTTCTTTGGCAAGTATTATTCCCTGCAGCTGAAATCCCTATATAGCAATCAATTCTCCATCTGGAACATCAGGCAACTTAATAACTACAGTATATTGCTTCAATTAACAATTTCATAAGCATACTGTGTACTGATGTGTAGCACTGGGAAACTGAGGTTAGGCATTGTTTCTAGTTACACAATGCAGTATACAGATATAGCATTAGAGAAGGCCATCTGGTAGGTTTATCTGCTTTTCCTTACATGGGAACAGTGCTGTATTAGGATCATGTCATTGGTCATTCTTCTATCAAGTGTCTGTTACTTTCTCTCTCATTTTTTTACAGCAGGAGTTGGAAACATTTTCTCTGCTCAGTAATGGCGTATCATCCACCTTACCAAATCAGGTAGGCCCTTATTATTCAAACTATCAGAGACCTAACAACAAAGTGGTGTAGTGGAGAATGGAATGTAGAGCAATGTGTACCCCACCAGCCCCCTTTTCTGTGGCAGTAGTGGGGGTGGGGTCTCCTGACAATAACTCGGTGGGCTCCAGCTCAACTTCCTGGCTTAGAACGGCTTTTATTAACAGAATAGAGTTACTCCCCCCCCATCTCTCACCCTGCCCTCAGTCTCATAGGGCTGAGTTTGTCTCTAGTGCTTTAGATACTGCTTGCCAACTTGGAGCCCCCTAGAGTTCAGTTCCTGGGAAGCCAAGAGGAGAGAGAAGCTTTGCTCCCGGACGTGTACCTTTTACGGAGGTTTGTAGAGAGGGGCGAAAGAAGCCAGGCTCTGGGACTTGTCTGTTCCCCTTTCCTTCCCTTGGCGTGTTGTGCCATTGCTTGCTTGTCCAGGACCATGGCAGTGTCTGGGTAGAGGCTGCTGTGTTCAAGCACATGGCTGGAGTCTCTGGTGCCTAACAAGCTAGTTTAGAGTAGGCAGCTTTACTCATTCTCTTCCCTGGTCTCTGTATCTTCCTTGGCATCTTCCCAGGTGTTTTCTACTTCAGAAATAAGCTGCAACACCGTGCCTTCTGCCCTTTTGTTCTTCTTGACCCTGCTTCCTCCAGCTGTTTCCTTGTCAGGCAGTCACGTCTCCTTGAGCTGTGTGGATTCCTGCTTGCCAGCTTAATACTGAGAAAACCTGCTGTTATCCTCGTTGTCTAATACTTGTGTGCTGGGACCAGACTAGCAGTGCATTCTTGCACCCCATCACAAGCAAAAATAGAAACAAAAAGATAGTGGCACTGAAAAAATTAACAGATTTGTTTCAAGTGAGCTATAATTTAGGAGGTATACACTGAAATGAACCTGTTACTGCTTAGGTTCCCACTACATTTTTTGTTTTTCTTTGTGCTGCACATGAAACAGACTGGCATGGCTACCGTGCTGAAAACTGAGAGAACAGAATGGTTTCCTGAAACAAGACACAGCTATAACCTGTGTGCCTCGCATTACGACGTTAATTCGTTCCAGCGAAATCGCTGTAGAACGAAAACGTCGTAATGCGAAAATAGAAAGCCCATTGAAACCCCTCCAAAGCATTCCAGTGGGCTGGAAACTCAATGTCCAGTGAAGATCCTCCATAGGGCGGCCATTTTCGGTGGCTGTCTTGCGAGGAATCCGTCCCAGAAAACAGCAGGGAGCCATTTTATTTACCTGGTGGCCATTTTGAAACGGCCGATCAGCTGGAGGAAAATCGTCGTTTTGCGAAGAATCGGTTCCCGAAGCAGGGAACCGATCATCACAAAGCCAAAAAAACTCATTCAGACAATCGTTTTGCGATTGCAAAAAGATCGTCATAATGCGGTTTCATCGTAATGCGGGGCAATCGTAAAGTGAGGCACGACTGTACTAGCATTTTCCACCTTGAGTTGGCCGTCGATATTTTATGGCCATTGGACACAATGCATTTTCATTGAGTTGTTTTGTGGGGAGGGGCATTGCCTGTTTGGTTTCTTCCCCAAATATTTTTTTTTGTTTCACAATCATTGCAGTCTCTTCCATACTTAAGCCTTCTTCTTGAAACCAAAAAGCCAGCTCAAAAAGGGCAGTTATGTAAGACATGAGTAATGAAATATCATGCTTTTAAAGATTAGCTCTGGTTGCATGATGTTAATAAGGGAATTCTTAGTCTGCATAGTTTACATACTGATTTGCATGGCTAACCTCATGATGGGCTTTCATTTCCTGTGAACCAAAATCATCTTCAAAATGGAGGGCCTCCATGACTTGGTTAAAATTCATATGACCAAACTATAGCAAATTAATTGGAGTGGGTTAATTACTACTGCTTGGTTCCATCATTTTCTGTGGGACCTAAGTTAAGAATGTTTCACTAAACTTGAGGGCATGGTTATGAAGGCATGTGGCAGAGCAGTCTTACTGAATTAATCTTAGTTTGGACCAGGTGAGAAATCTCTTGGGAACCCAGTCTACTGAACTGGAAGAAAATTATTAAGTAAGAAAAAAATAGATTGGGCACTAAAGGAAAGTTGACCTTTTTCTGTTCCTGCATTAACAGTTGTTCATATTTGTTCTCATGCCAAGAAAATTGGAAGTAGTATTGAAATTAGACTTGGAATTTGTACCTAGCATGTATTATATATGTGTTACCCAGAAGTATGGCTCTTTTCCAGTATTTCCTCTCCAACCATTTTCCTCATACTGACTCCCTTTTGGGAAATAATAGAAGCCCATATTTTTTTCTGATGAAATTTTACTCTTGTAAACTTCTCTCCCTCACCTTTTCAGTTCTCAACCAGTTGTGTACATTTTTTTCTGTTAAACAGTAGCACTGGACCTTAACTAGAATTATTTGATCACTGTATAAGCGAGATTTTTCTATTTCCTCTGCTTATATTTTGGGGCATTTTGCTTTATCTAAAAATGAGATAAAATTGTCTGTCTTTTACTCTCTTGTACTTTAATTTTATCATGTATTAAGTTCTCAAGTCAAGACCCCACTGTAATACTGTAGAAGCCCATAATTTTTTCTGATGAAATTTTACTCTTGTAAATTTCTCTCCCTCACCTTTTCAGTTCTCAACCAGTTGTGTACATTTTTTTCTATTAAACAGTAGCACTGGACCTTAACTAGAATTATTTGATCACTGTATAAGCGAGATTTTTCTATTTCCTCTGCTTATATTTTGGGGCATTTTGCTTTATCTAAAAATGAGATAAAATTGTCTGTCTTTTACTCTCTTGTACTTTAATTTTATCCATTTTAATTATGTAAATTATTTAAGCATTTGTTTTTGTTGCTTTTAATTCTGGATGTAATTCATAAAATTATTTTTCTTGGCCTGTAAAAGGTCACTTATCAAATTATATGTTCCGCTATAGGAGCATTTCTAAATTTGTTAGTAGATTCTAAGGGGAAAGAAATTTCAGCATGTGCATAGAATTGCAGTAGCGCAGGATATGGCATTTGCCAAAATTCTCTTCTAATGAAGACATAGGAGACGTGTTCCATATAAAATCTGGCACCCCCACTCATTAATGCTGACTATGAGCAATAATTTGAGAATAATTAAGGTGGAAAGCAAAGGAAGGGATAAGTGCATTTAAAAGTATATAGTTGGCTGAAACCTGTTGGAATGAACGGTTAGTATCTTTGGATGGGTGTACAGACTCTGTCCGTGTGAGTGGTGGCGCTGCGGCTTAAACCGCAGAAGCCTCTGTGCTGCATGGTCGTAAGATCAAATCCACGTGACGAATTGAGCTCCCCGTTGCCTCTGTGCTGCATGGTCGTAAGATCAAACCCACGCGACAAACTGAGCTCCCCGTTGCTTGTTCCAGCTCCCGCCAACCTAGCAGTTTAAAAGCATGCAAAATGCATAATGCGAGTAGATAAATAGGTACCACCTCAGTGGGAAGGTAACGACATTCCTTGTCTAGTCACGCTGGCCATAGGCCCACAGAAGATTATCTTCAGACAAACGCTAGCTCCATCGGTTGGAAACTGAGATGAGCACCGGCCCCTAGAATCGGACATGACTGGACTAAATGTCAAAGGGAACCTTACAGACTCTATCCAAAGAAGTTTGGGAGCAACTTGTTCTTCTTTCAGAAGAAGCTGGTTATGCTTAGTGCTGATTGGCTAGCCCTCAAGACAGTCTTATGGGCATGCAGTATTTTATGGCTTCTATATTTAGGCATATCTTTATGTTTTGTATGTGTGCAGTTCAGCTGTTTTTGGAAAACTAGAGAAGAGACATTAATGTTAAAAAGCACCATCCCTCTTCAAAAGTGAATTGATTGTAATCTTTCTCCCTCCATAGACTGTTTCCAATGGTCTGGGCCCTGTAGATGACATTGAAACAGGTGGGATTTTTATATTCCTTTAATATACAGTATGTTTCTGTTCATTTGAATGATCCCAGGTGGGATTTTTATATTCCTTTAATATATGTTTCTGTTCATTTGAATGATCTAATAGCTGATTTGAGATGAAGGAGATTCAAGAGAATATCGGCAGAACATCAAGCTGCCTACTTAGGGTTATCTTACAGTCATGCAACAGGAAATGTCCTTGGGGAAAGGCAAGTTCTTTCCATTTAGAAGCAAGTACAGTTCCTGCAGTTGTTACCATCAGTTCCTTAGATGTCAGTGAAATCAGTAGAGCCTGAAGCTGCTGGTGTACGTATGTTAATGGTGTCAGTCTAATCCGCTGCAGGAGACAACTGATTTCCACAGTATGCACTGCTCTAAAATTTGGAACGTGTGGATGTGTTCTGAGGAGAACCCATAGCTCAGTAGTAGAGCTCATGCTTTGCCCCCAAAAGATCCCAGGCTCAAACCTATCTGTCATGTTCCTGCCTGTCCCTTGGTTGTTTCACCAAGCAAAGGCACAAGCTACCACCAGTTAATTACATCAACTTTATTCACTATTGAAGACAGCCAGTTGATTACATCAACTTTCTTCACTATTGAAGACAGTCTGGGCAACGTATCATTTAAGAACCAAGTAGAAATTGTTTATTGTTACAGGTCATAACAGTACAGTCAAAGTCATTACCTCTCAACTAAACAACCTTCTCTCTTCACTCTCAACTGCCTACTCTAACTCACTTTCTCCCACCTTTTCTTTACCCCACTTAACTCTGCCCCTCACCAACTCCTATTGGTGCATGCAAATCTCAACATAAATATTAATGAGCAGGATGAATGCTACACAATCATCTTTAGGTAAGGCTAAGAAGGAATCCTCCTTGAAAACCTGGTGAGCTGCTGCCAGTCAGGGTTGAGAACACTAGAATAGATGGACCAGTGATCCAAAGGCAGCTTCCTTTGTTAGAAGTGTAATTTTGCTAAGTAGTTGGCCTGACAGTGAATAATTTACTGAGAGGTAGGTAACTATCTTTAGAAGGCAAGAGAGACTAGGTAGATTAGTGGTAGAGCATATATGCAGGGGTTCAGAAAGCCCCAGAGATTTATTTTGCAATTGTTTAAAAAGACCTTTGCCTAAGACCCCCAGTAGCCTCTGCTAGTCAGAATAGGCAATATGTAGTTAGATGGACAAATACTTGGTGTTGGTATGAAGTTGCATCCTCTGCATTGGTGGCCAAGGTCTGTTGAACTTTGTTTTGTCAGTTGAGTGGAGTTGAGTGAATGCTACTGCCACACGTGTCATTTAATAACTTGCCTTGCAGACAACTCTCCAGGGCTCCCAGGCATCACTGCTCCCAATGCAACCTCTGTTCCTGCGAGTGAGGGCCCTGCCTTTCCATCATCAGATGCAGATACAAAAGGCACAGCAACTGCACTGCCTACTGGCTCCCTGGTTCCTTCTACAGATGCAACACCTGGGTCAGGATCTGAGAATGTGGATGACTTTACTGAAGGAGGAGTTCTTGGTGATGAACTGGACTCTATTCTGGATTCTATTGCAGATGGGACACAGCAGTACTCTCTAGTAAGCCTTGATTTCCTGGCAGTGGAGCTGCCCAGCTTTTTCTTTTCGGTTACTCATTTATGGACTTCCCTGACTTCTGTTCCTAAGCACCAGGGACTTCTGAGTGTTTCCTCCTCTTGGTACCCTAAGTGTCTGAAGGGGTCTGTGTTAACACACAAATGGAATATATGACATATTTCAATTTGTGGCCCCATCAGGTCAAGCATCTGTGTGATCTTGGGCGAGCCTCTGCCAGTCAGAGTGGGAAGCATTTGGCTAGATGTGACTATCTTGCACTGATGCTTCCTATTTACTCTGGCCTGCAGTTCCTATAACCAGCATGGCTAATGGTCTTGGATGGCGGGATGTGATTTTAACCATCTGAAAGGCACTGGCTTGGAGAAAGGCTTAATGAGTCAGTATTGCAAAGATTTATATTTTCCTCTGGCATCTTCCTTGCCTTTGAGTGCTGGCTCATCAGAGGCTGGTTAAGCTGCCCTGACTCTGATTTGCTAACCGTTCCTATAAAAGCCATAGGTTGGGAAGGAACTTTCTGGGCTGCAGCAACTACAGCCCCCACCCAGCATGGCTGCACTTTTGTCCAGAAACAGGTACTTTTCCTGTCTTTGAAAAGCAAGATAGCCAGTCCATAGCTCATTTGTAATTTTTTTTTCAGCTGCTCCTGCTCTCATTCCATTTTGAGACTCTGCACAACTTTTTCTGTAATGGTCTGTTTTCCTGCTGCCTGCCTATTATTCCCTTTACAATTTTGCAGTTTTTACCTGGCTTGCCTCTGGCTACTTGGTTAGCCTTATCTGTGGTTAATGCTGATGCCAGTGTTATTTGCTGATAAAAAAGGGGGGGCATCTGAGAGTGTCTGAGATGCAGGTTGCAATTGTCAAAACTACAGGAAGTAATTGCACTGCTTTTAGGCCCAGACTGTCATGGTTGGTGCCATGAGCTGTGTTATCTGTGTGCATGTATTGTTTTAAATCTGTTTCCTCTAACCTCGGTACATTTGATCTTTTCCTCTGAAGTCTCTGGTCCAAGGGGCCATCCCTGCCAGTCTTCCCAGTGAGATGCCCAGGCTGATTCCTGTGTTCCCAGGAGGTACTCCGCTGCTCCCTCCTGTGGTGACCACCAACATCCCCGTCTCCACTCCACTTCCTCCTGCTTCTTTCGGCCTTGTGATGGATGCCACAAAGCAACTCTCTTCCTCCTCTGTTCTGGATGCCTTTGAATCGCCAGTGGGGGGTAGTGGCAACTCTCCTTTGGACTCATTGGATTCGCTAGATCTGCTCCCGTATACAGAGTCTCGGCTTGATGTGCTGGATGCTTTTGGGACTAGTAGGGGATCGTTGGATGCGCTGGATACCTTCACTGTTGGTAGGCAGGGGGTCTGTTAGAGTCATCTTTTTCCATGAAAAAGTGTAATGCTCCCACAGAATTCTACCTTGGCCAAAATCCTCTTGTGTGGTTCTTATTTCAGTGTAATGCTAACAGTGTAACTTGGGGAGGTGAATTGCAAGTTAACAGTTCACCATAGGTATTGTCAGGCTTGCTCCAAGTCACATGACTCCATATGCAACAGACAATATCTACAGTAATTTCTTAATGTATGGCCATTTGCCTTCAGAAGTTATTCCAGTAGCTTTACATGGGCATAGCTGAGCGAGACGACTTGGGCCATTGTGTTCCTGGCTGCGTTTGTGATCTACCCGTGGCTCATATTACATGTTCGTCTGCTGTCATCTGACTTTCCCTCCCCCTTTAGGTAACACGCTGCGCAAGTTGACTCTTGCAGATTGTGCAGGTTGCATAAGGTTTCAGTTGTATAGCGCCCGTCATCTGGTTGGCAGTTAATAGCAGCAGCATTTGTAGACTGATGTATTTTAACAAGGGTGGGGAATCTATTTTGGGTCATTAAGTGATCCTTCCTGTGTCTTTATTAACCCTCCATTGATACACACACCTCCTCACTTTCTAAAATATAACGTCTGTAGTCAGAGTGCCTCACATTAGGCAATTTCCCCCTGAAGTGTCGTGTGTATCTCCTCCAACTGGTGCTTTGTCGAGGGGAATGGCTTTCCCATGGTAAGCCAGCCCTGCAGTGTAGGTGCCAAAGGCAAGAATATTTCCTTCTGTGCACCTCCTCCTTTGGGGAGGATGTGGGGCAGACAAAGCACTTCTTGCTTTTTCATTTGTTAAAGTGAGCAGCATATTAAAAAATACCCTCCTTTCCAGCCACTGATTAGAGATGAAAGCAAGGATATTTATTTATCTATTTATCTATTTATTTATTTATTTATTTATTTATTTATTTATTTATTTATTTATTTATTTATTTATTTATTTATTTATTTATTTATTTATTTATTTA